CACTAAACAAAATCTGTTTGTCATTACAATGACTTGCCTGTTGGTTTCCAAAAGAAAACATAGAAACAACAATCACACAGTTATGGACATCAAGCTACCGGATCCAAGGTCGTTAGTACAAGTTGTTCGTTAATTGTGAAGAAATTTTAATAGCTCACCTATCTTTACAGTATATGTTGACGATGCGGTCCAGAAGAACGATTTAAGCTTCACAACTTAAGCATCCAACTCAGAAAACAAAACACCTCCAGTATCCTTATTTTGAACCATAGTTGTTCTCTATCTTCTCAAAATAATTATTTATTACGACCGTAAATAACAAACACCCAGGATTACACTGGTATTAAAAAGAGGTATGATGTAAATAATGAAAGTGTGATCACAGAGTTAAACAGGTGGAATTACCAACAGTTAAGTAAAATTTAAACTGATTTAAAGTAAATAGTTTGACGAAATAATCCTTACCAATTTTGTTTAATGCAATATTTATTGATGCAACAATGAAATACCGAGATCGTAATTTACTGTTTAGAAGCGTTAATCCAGTAAAATCTCTTGCTCGAAATGGGTTTCAAAGAAAATTCCATTGTACTATCCTAGTCACAATTGCTTTCTTTCTTATGTGGATAGTTTCTTTTACATATCAACTACAATATCGCTTGATGTACGTAAATAATTTGCTATGACTTGTTTCTTATTTAGGAATATGAAATTTTATTCTGTATCTTCCATTAGATCTGGTGTTTTTGAATTATATCGAGATGAATCAGAATTAAAATTTGCTAATAATATTAGAATTTTTCCATAATGATATAGCTTTTCAACAGCTCATAAGATTATCAAGTATATATGTATGATTTGAACGGATAAGTAGAATTTCAATACATTTCACCATTCATAAACCAGTTTCAAGAACTGTAGTGAATATAGACCGCATAGTCCTATTTAAGTCCTATCGAAGATCTGACTTTGGAACAATTTAAATGTAATCCAATATTTAATTAGGTTAAAATATGGTGTACCAGTTTTTTATCTAAAAGAACTCAGCTTTAAAGAATAAGGATGATATAATATCTTCGACGATATTAAGATAGACCACCATTGAAAACCTGGAAGCACTGGACGGCCGTTTCGTCCTAGTATGGGACTCCTCAGCAGTGCGCATCCACGAACCCGCCCCCGGCGGGATTCGAACCCAGGACCTACTGCCTTCGCGCGCGAGCACTCAGTGGTCTAATGGTTAAGTGCTCACGCGCGAAGCCAGTAGGTCCTGGGTTCGAATCCCGCCGGGGGCGGGTTCGTGGATGCGCACTGCTGAGGAGTCCCATACTAGGACGAAACGGCCGTCCAGTGCTTCCAGGTTTTCCATGGTGGTCTAGCTTCAACTGACTCATGATTACAACCTGTGAAACTTACTAAAATCTCCACAAAACTCATTCTGAGGATATTAAGATAATCAATATGGCCATTTACAACTCTTTTCCTATAGTAACAAACGATGATATACTAATGTCCAATATTGAACTTCTGAGTTGTGTGTTACTAAGGTTTATAAAATAAAAACTTTGCAATGAATCCCTATTTGTATATGTGATAATAAATAATTATATTTGATAGACTAATTGCTAAGAAGTAAAAATGTCTATTCCATGGCTCTTGTTTTTAAAAAAACCAACGTTTTTCGCCATTAACATTAGTTGTATTTTCGACCACGGCATTAAATGTTTCTATATATTCATATAATTACTAACTTACAAACTATCTAGGAAATCCAAATTTTATTGGTTGAGATAATGAGTGAAGTGAACCTAGACTACCACTGAAAACCTGGAAGCACTGGATGGCCATTTCGTCTTATTGTGAGACTCCTCTAAACTTATTGATATACAATATATGATCCGAAAAATAAGAACTTGTTTTGCATCAAGCTCAATCATTTACTACATTATATTACTTTATGTTTATAATATATTCCCAGTTTTACACTCTATTAGACGGCCAAGGAAGATATTCATTCACGTATAACTTATTATTTCAAAGAATTGCTTATCTGATTCAACAAACATTATCAATAAAGTTAAGAAAATACTAGGGAGCATGATTTGATAACTTTTAAGTAGTATTTGTTTAACATTTTGATATGAATTATTTCATATGTTTACATCAGTATGAAGACTAACCACATGCGGAAAATTGTACCTGGAATGCCATACATGAAACGACTGATAGTTCTGTGTTGACTGACGAAAATCACTTATCCAATTTTGTCTATCCCCAACGGAGTTAAAAATAATAAATATTGTTTGGAAGGGGCATATATTTCAGTGTACAAGTCATATGAATATTCCAGTATATCATTTCATTATGTGCAGTATATGTAAGCTACTTGGTTTATTCTCTGAAGAACAAGCTTACACTGAGTTATGACACGTCAGAAAATCTAATTTTCATACTGATTGAGATATTACAAATGTATTATTTAACTTATATAAATCATGTTATATAATCCTGTTGATGAGTAATAAGTAATTATTATCATTACTGTCTTTCTTGTTGTTAATTGGAATACATGAAATGAAAAGATTTAAAAGTATCAAATCAAAAATGTAACTGAGTTTTTTTGAAAGAAATTAAATAAAGTCTGTAAACATAAGTGAGATTTCCAATTCTTTAATTATTTCTTTTGACATTTGTAATAATCAACTGAGTTGTTATAAACGATATTTAACTTAAAAATTTCTATTTACCATAACAACAAGAAATATCCACAAAGTTTTTCTTGTTGTTTCACATTCATTTATATCCCCCCTTTTTGATTGGAAATAATCTTATGATATTCACACGACTGAGTGTAATCAAACTTATTTACTTTCTATGTTGATGATTGGCAGCTTTTTCTTTTGTTTTATTATTTTTTCTATAATAATAAAATACTGCACTTTAACGATTTATAGTGTTATAACACTTTTTTCTACATAAGTGCACAAATTACAAAACAAAAAAGAAAAAAACACAGTGAAAATTAACAAAATAAAGACAAATGAATTAGTTTAGATTGCACACAATAATTAGCCAATATTTGGCGCCTATATATTGAGATACGTACATAAAACAAAAAAAGTATATTTGTCCACATCTTATTTATTTGGCAGTAATATAATAAAAATTAATGAATAAAATAATTAATTAGTTGATTTTATTCAAGATATTGATTTATGAACTTGTAAAGTCTATTAAAATTGTTAATGATTTCATTGTTTCAGTAAATTCTAAATAGAACAACATTGAATAGTTTCAATACTATTCATTGTTTGTTATTTAAACAATCTTGTAGTGATTAGAGCACGAGTGGGGACAATCGAATGTACTTAACACAAAATTACAGGATTTGTTAATAAAATCTAAGAATCATAAAGTAAATGCTTAATTTGAAACTTGTCTCAAAATGACCCTGACTTCATTATTCTTGCATTTTCATACAAACTGCATCTTGTTCCATTCTTTACTGTTTGATTCTCTTGTCTCTCTGCTGCCAGATCTTCTGTTCACGACTAACATCATATACTACTTATGTTAATATAAGTAGCATACACCACAATCTTATATTACAGAAAGTAATTTGTTAAATTACTGTTTCCTTAACAGTACGAAGGAAAGTATAGTGTTATTTGTGAAGCACGATCGAAATAGAACAATACATTTACTTTTTGTTTCAAAATTGAATACACTTCTACGTTTGTTTTTATTTCCAACTGAAGATGTATGTTTATGTTGATCACTTTCGAAAGCGTATTCCCTTCATAGCTATTGACATAGGATTACGAAAGTTAAACATTAATGTCTAATATACTTTTTTATTTATGCAGCAAGAGCACAAATAAAATTGCTGCTCGTTTTATCAAAATTATTTGTAAAATCATAAATATTTTAATGATTTATAAGTTTGTCCTATTAATGGCTTGTGTCGAAATAGGTTTCTTACAGTTTTAATTGAAAAATCGGTAACCTTCAAAGTCAATCAATTCTAAAGTGAAGGGATACTTTATTGATGATACTGAATAAATGAGAGATGGATTTGTAGATCCATTAATGCAGAATGTTTGTTTGATCATGCTCACCACAGTGTAGATGCTATTTCTTATATAGATATATGTCAGATGTATGAAAATTAAATAATGTATTCGATACACATAAGTATTTAATGCTTGCTTACATGTAAGCTTTACTTCCGTTTGTACTTGAATACAATGTGTTTCAGAGTTATATCTTATTAAAAATTTTTATTTGTCATTATTAGTTTTTATCATTTGTTTATCATAGAAATACTTCCTGTCGATCTGTTTCATGTCAGGAAATGTTTAGTTTGTGAATACATTTTTTATTAGTTAGAACAGCTTCAGAAATTAACACAACGCCATTAAAGTTTCAATGCATTTTAAATCAAAAGATGGGATGTTGACAAATTGTTTGCAAAGACATAGATAAGTTTTATGACAATCACAAAACTTTCACTTTTTCAAACAAATTCTAATAAATAATCATTTACAACATTTCTTAGATAAGAAAAACTCGAAGAATCATTATATTATTAAGCAAGAATAGCCACTCAGATATACTATTATATCGAAAATTTACTAATAAATCTCACCTTCAGTTGGATATATCTTGCACTTTAAACCTTAAAACGGGACAGGAAGTAAACGTTTATTACTGAGTTACTTCAAAAATAGAGAGGCTACAAGTAGAACCTTTGTCAGAACAAAGTGAAATTGTGGGGAAAAACATGTGTACAATACCGTACCATTCATCTATACAACTTATTATTTCTGTATTTTATGAAACATTCTGCAGAAGGATATTCTTCCGAAGTACAATTTCAACAAATTGTTTACTTGTTTGCCAAAATATAAAATTTAAAACAATTAGTCCCTTTGATAAATTTCGATAATGCAATGAGAAGACGAAGTTTATCAGAATTATGTTGTGATATATTTGCGCAATACATTTCGAACAATCTGATCACACATATACTTGTTAAGAACATTTATAAATGAAAATTAAAAAGTCGACTGGACAAGTTAAAGATAAGCCGTAACAAAGAAAAAATAATAAAGTATACAAAAGCCATGTGATTACCACTCTGAATAATAAATCAGTACTACTAGGGTAGGTTAAGTGTAAGGATAAATTGTGTTTGGACGCACAAAGGGGGTTTCAATTTTCGTATAGCCAAGGCTTCAATACACTTTAGTATACGTCCTTTAAAACGTTTGTGTAAAACTACACATGCTGACTTGATGCCAACCTAATGACCAGTCTCAACCAAATGTTTCTCAACGGAGGATTGTGTCTGTCTACCCAAATTGTTCCAAATGTATTACGCGAATATATCACAGAATTCTGATAAACGTCTTCTCATTGAATTACCAAAATATAATTTAAATCCATGTAAAAAAATTAATTTAACTCAGAGTTCTTATTTCTGTCCCTATGATATTTGTCAATAAAATCATTTTGATAATGATCATCAAGTAGTTTAACATAACATATTCATGATCATTCGTAGCATGGTATTTTTTCATAACTTCACTTGGTTCGAGTAAGTATGGTTTCTGTTTGGAAAGCATTAATCTCAAACAACATCAAGGAATGAAGGATCTGATGATCTATCTTCATATCGATTTGTGAGTTTATGATTAAATTAAGTAATCTGTACATTCTAGATCACTTCCGACAATAAATATTTTCATAGGTCAACTAATAAATTTTACAATCATCATTTATCATCAAGATATTTCACTTAATGTGTAAACCTTTTTAATGATTAAAAATGAAAAGAAATACATTGATGATTCTATCTATAAATATATTTTATGAATTTTTGTTTTTCGAATAAAATACAATAGAAATAGAAGTGCTACAATATAATTGCTAGCTGATTATAATACATCAACACAAATTAATCAACATAGAAATAGTAATTCAACACAAACCAATTTCATACCGATATTAACTATTCATACAGACACATTGACTGTTCAATAAATTCTTGTATAAATCAGATTAAATATGACCAGTTTTCAATATTTTTAGTTAAATGGAGAATATTTAGAAGTGTTATTATCTTGATTTTTTTCACAGTTGCTAACTGTCCCAAAAACATTCTTTCCAAATTATATCTAAGTACTCATTATTATGATTATTATTTTCTTGAAAATTTATTTTCGTTTTGCATAACAACTACTGTGTTCTTCACATTCTATTGTTGTATTTTTAAATGGGTAAAATGTTATTTACTCATTTCACAAATAGTGAAAATTAAAACAATCATGAATCGAAATTTAAAGTGGGAAACAATGAAAAGAAACTTAAATCATTAACAATAGAAAGCAACGTTAATTAGAAGAAAACAAAACGATTTTTTTAAAAAAAAATGTTTACCTACAACTATAATAATAAAATAACCGAAAACATTTAAACTATACTAAATAAAGCTCGTCATTATTATTATTATTATTATTATTATTATTATCTTCTAATTACTTCTAATTACTTTATTTATTGAATGAATACAACTAGTAAAATGTATAGGTAATACCGGTCAACTATGAATACGATACAATACTGAACAGATCTTTTACAATATTACTTTTAAACCAATCATAATATAGATTGAATAATATGATAAATCAGTATATATTCAAGATATAAATTTATATAGAATAAATTTACTGAATAAAATGATAATGAAAAATCATATGGATTTCAATGAAGAAAAAAAAAGAAAACAGGAACCTTCTAGAAATTAAGAGTTTGAGTGTATTGTCATTAAACGTAATAATAATAATAGTGAAATAAAAAGAATAATGAATAAGACACATTTGTATATTAATAAACACACATTAATAAGAGAATACTTTAACTATAAAATAATGTTTAACAAATTTTATTTTGAAATATTCGAAAAGAAAATAAAGTGGAGTAGAGTAATTAATGAATAAGGAAAATACACTTAATTTTTTTTATGATGTCACTTGTATCAGTCATGGTTAAAACGTCACGAATCATCCAATGTATATGTATATCGTATTTGTATTCATTTTTGCTAGGAGACATATATGTATTGTAAATACCCTGGCTAAATAAATTATATTATTCATCCGATTGAAGTTCTGCATTTAAAAGCATGAAATCTCCATTGATTCGAATATGTGATAAGAATTGAAGAGGATAATACTGTTCAAAATTGTACATCATTGATTCGTCACTATTAAGAAGTACCTAACAGTAAAGATAATGATATAAATAAAGTTTACAGAGTTAATTTTAGAAAAAATTAAGTCAAGTTAATAGAATCGATAATGTCAATCAGTATAACTAAAAATAGGACGTTGATTCATTTTTCAAAAGGAAATCTCCTGACTGTTTTAGCTTATGGAACAAATAGAAATTTCTATGAACGAAAAGTAGGACTCAATAACAAAGTCTAATTTTTTGTCAATACACATGAAAAAGTTCAGTAAAGCTTTAAATGTCTCTCAGGTTTTAACTGAAAAGGTATATACTATAATGAAACAAATTTATTGCTTCAGAAAGATCTGTCATGTAAAGTAAATTTTCAGTCCCTGTTGTTAAAGTAGAAAATTTGATTCCCATAAATGGTAGAAATGAAATTTATTCAAGATAAAAGCCGTACAATATTACTAATAGGATGGTGTATGGTACTTATGTCTACAAACAAACTGATTGTCCCCACCTGAGTATTCATTCACATTAATAATAGTAATGATATGCAACCTAAATTATTAATAATGGCAGTACGATTCAGTTCAGGTACATTTCTTTCGAAATATGGAAAGTCTAACTACAGTAATTCATGATTCAATCAGCATGATTTGTTCATAAATATATCTCCTAAAAACGAATAATGATGTACTAAAACTATAACAAGATTCTGCTTTGATAATCTTTTAGAGTAAGAATAAAAACACATACTGTACTAACAAAAGAGTAATTTTAAACATTTTATGCTACAAATATTAATTAGATATACACATACTAGTGTTTAAAATCTAAGTACTGAATCTAAGATTTCAGTTCTCAAGTCTGTTTCTGGGGGAAAAATAAGGATTTACAGTTGATAATTTTTGAAAATGTAGGTATCACAAACTCATCATTTACTGAACTCATAAACATGAAGTTAACTTTAATAGGAAAACTTTGAATTTTGTGATGAAACACTTTGAACGTTCGAAGTTATAACTTTAATCTCAACCATTGTTGTTATATTGATTTTTTAATTACAATCAAAGGTGATTACCAAAATATCAATTAAATAGAAATTGAAATTGGTGAAGTCACTTACCTTTAGTGTGTTATTGTACCAACTGAATTTCATTTTACATATCTGTTCAGGAATATATGTTATCTCTTTTTCAGCATATTGAATATTATTTGTTTCTTTTGCAATCTCTTGTATTATTAAGTTACCTGTTTCAAAATTCAGTAGGATTTGCATTGAGACAAATTCAGAGCTACTGATAGGTTTATAAACATATTCGATGATGACTCTGTGAAAATAAACATCAGTAAGACATATACAGTATGAAATTAATTATAGATAAACTAATAATTAGTCTGTAGAAGTCTCAATTTTGCTAAAAAAAAACAGTGACCTTTCAAATAACTCAAATGTCGACAGCTCCGAATGAACAGGTGATTATAAGATTGTAAATAAACTTTATTGAAAGGTGTTGTCTTACGAGAAACGTCCTGGGCTCGACACCCTGTGGTGTTGTGGATCTGGACTTCCGAGAAGTCCCATACTAGGATAAAATAGTTGTTCAAGGCTTTCTGCTTTTCAGTGGCTGTCTAACTAAGATCAGTACGTGACAGGAACTATGAAAATTGATAATTATAAGTAAACATATTATATGCATAACTGTGTCATTTAGGCTTTTCATGTTACTGTTGCAGTGGTTTAATGAATCAGGTTAGTGATTAGTACGAGTAAACAACGAAGCACTGGAAACCCATTAAACAACGCAGTTTAGTTCAACAAGTTATCAACACAGAGAAAATAATTTTAAGATAGAATTTAAATAACAAAACTAAGCCTAAGTAACGAAGTTATTTTTGTAATTTAAACACCTTCATTCAACTCGAAAATGCTTATTTTTAACCCGGAGTTAGTAAAAAGACTAAAAGCGGGAAAGTGGCTGTCATAAAAACTGTAAACGGATTCACATATAGCAATAAGAGCAGACATCAGGACTTTATGTGTAGTTAGTTATTGATTCATATGGTGTACCAGTTTACTTCAACGTTGGCTATACGGTCTATTGTAGAAGTGACATACCAGAATGTCACCTAGCTTTCCTTTGATTGTCTTTGCTAATCTAACGTAAGACATAAAGGACTATGATTACTCGAATTTAATTAGGAACATAACATTTTGCGTATTTCATCTAAAATTACTGTTATTGTCAATTATAGAGATTACTGACAAAATGTTGCCACACATACAACACATAATGTCAAAGTGAATTTGTCGTAGACTTTATAACTAAACTATAGAAAACATTCTAAACTGTAATATAATGTGTATTGATAACAGTATGGCAGAAAGAATGATGACATTTACTATTTTGGTTATTATCTTCAGATCCTGGAATAAGTAGTCTATTCACACTACTTACTTGATATGCCAGCATTTGATTAAATAAGTTAGTACATCATTAAAATTTGGATCCACAGAAATTCATACTCTATTCTTTCATACTAAAAATGTCACACTTCTCACTTAATAACATACACAAATACATAAGTATGTCTCATTTAAATCACTTTGATCACATTGACTTGATCAAATCTGCTTTTTTATTGGTTGTACTAAATAGATGCGCACTGCTGAGGAGTCCTCTACTGAGACGAAATGGCCTTCAAGTGCTTCCAGGTGGTTTAGCATTGATCCATTTGTGATTTCAATCAAAACTAAATAATCTCAACAACCCTATACTGATAACTACATATTTTCGTTTTGTTCCTTTGTACTAATTAAACTTGGGTTTATTCTCCGAAGAAGTTCTGACAATGAGTCATGAAACACCACAAATTTTAATTTTCCTACTGGTCGAGATATTACAAATTTATTATTTGTATTAGTAACAGTCTACTCAATGCTCAGGTCTTCTGAAAATATAAAGTCAAACTTTGGTAATGACAAGAACTGAAAGTTCTAGTTCTAATACAGTAAACATCTGATAGATATCTCTCTTTATCCTGATGCGTTTAATGTAAAAATACGTTCTGTATGCAGAAGTCATGTTGTGCACCTTTGATCTTGAAGTTCACTAGAATGCAAGGTAAAGCTGATGTTTATGTTATAAGTTTGAAGAAATTAAAAAGTTATGCTTCGTGAGTTGCAATTACTTGAAAGTATAATTCACGCGTTTTTAGTACTGTAAATAAAAGTTATGGTTTTGAAGTGAAAAATGTACTTGTATTATTTTCTGCATCTGTCAGAGCCGTACCATGTTAGAGTTGAACATACTAAACGTCGAAAGTGAAGATTATACAATTTCAAATGTCAGAAGAAGATCGCATATCAATTAAGAAGTTAGAAAAATAAAATAAAATGAAACCAAACGTGCAAAAGATAATAGTCTACTTATTATTTATAACAAAGGTGAATAATAAAGGTGATAATCATGACAATAATTAGGTATGATTCAGCATATTATATACATTCTGTCTTAAATAGAGAAAAACCTAATAGTTATATGACTTTTTGTGCACATCTTATTCTCTCTGATAAGATTCAATTTACATATTGAATTTGCACAGTTGGAATAAGATCTTGTTAGCAACAAGATTTGGAACTTTGATGCTTAAGCACTAATTAAATTTAAATCCTAGCCTTAATGTTGATCATTTTCTCGAATAAACATGCAAGTCAATGATAATAAATCAACATCACTTCCTCACTAATCAGTAAAAGGTTTCGCGTTTCAATTATAAATTTAACTTTGAACAATAGAATGATCTGAACATTTTTATGCAGTTTGACATACACATGAAACAAGCTTATTTTATAGATTCACTAAAGTTCATTTTAAAATGTTTACTAATGAAGGTAATTAGTTCTTTTTCATAAGCCATATCTTATATGATTTTAGTTAAACCATTGTGTTTTTCTATTTACACAGTAAATATAAGAATATTTGTAATCAGAATAAATATGATCAAATTAATATTATTTAAGTTATTCGTATGTGCGTAAACTAGAGTGATAAATTTCTGTAATGTGTCACTTGTGTAATAGCGATTGTGTTTCAGTACACTGATATTGGCATAAATATCATCACTTTACTATGGATACATGCACATGTGAATAGTCAAACAAAAGCTACTTTTATCACATGCAAAAACAGATATACACAAAAGTATGCTTACACTGTAAAAAGTTATTCCATTTAGCATAAATAAATGAAAACAAGATAAGCATCACCAATTAACAATACTTAAATGAAATGACAGACTAAGTAATCACTGAGTTACGTAGATTTATTGATTAAGATGTAAATGAAATCAACTACAAATAATTTTATTCACTAGAGTGCTGTTAGAGGTATGCCTGGACACTGATTACCACGATGCACAATGCTGACCATTGTTAGGGATGGCTGGAAGAGAATTCGGAGCGGCCAAACCAAAAACGTGGCATCGGCCTATAAAGTCACTAACTTCTAGTCTGAGCCATGTTGGTAGATGCTGACTACTTGGCTAGGGTCCACGTGACTATTGCAACCAACGGTTGGAGACTCTGGCTGACATGGCTAAGAAACGATCACGACGGCGTAGGTGTGTACACTATTTGTCTTCCCTTAAACCATGAGATTAAAATTGCTTTATACCTTTCTTTCTACGAACTAATTCTTTCTTTCTGTATCATATCTCAATATAAAATCTTTCCTTTATATATTACCATCACTGAATTAACTACTTCTATGAATTTGGTGTTCATCTTGTTGTACCAACGAGGTATGGCAACGTGGATCGATGTATATATGTGCCTGGTTCTACGTTGTAGCTGACTGACTGACTGATTCACTCTAGTTAGCATCACTAAACATCAGATGGACAAAACTAAATCTTAGATCGGATGATGGTGTTAAAGCTAGATATTTTGTAAGCAGTAAACAGAACTTCTAATGTTGCCATGGTAATGTCTATGTATATATATATATATATATATATATATATATATATATATTTCAAAACGAAATATAATCTTTCATTCAGCACTCTTTTTCCCTAAAAGTTTATTAATTCAGTGATACTTCGAATTAATGAGAGTTGAGGTAAAATAACTCACCACTCATTAAAATGAAAGCTACTCTTGTTTCTCCGAAATATAGTCTTAAAGGTGTGAAGTTGGTCAGCTATGCACTTTTTAATGGAATAATCTCGAAAATGTAAACTAAATAAAACTGTTTGCTGAACATCAACCGGAATTTTCGAAGAAAAGTTTAGATTAAAAGAAATTAAGAGAAAAATTAGAACAGTGCACATAGGAGAACGAGACTGTTGTTACTGAGATTTTTATCAAATCTACTACCCTAATATACAATAATATTTATATTCATGGATAAAAAATATTACACTAATCAAGGGAATTCCAAGTTAAAGATAATGATGAAATACATTCCATAACTTATTATGATGAGTAATAAATCGAATTTAATAGTAAGATAAAAGATTTTTCACTAATCATGGGAAGAAGGTCAAAATACTGTTTAGGATATGCGATCTCAAATTAAAACTTTTGAGAATCAAATCAATATCCATTAGGTTGAAATTATATATAATATTAAATTATTCAGGGTTAACACTAGTCGAGCAATTTCAGTACAATTTTACTACATTATACGTTTATAGCAAATACTCAGTCTAATCATTTGTTATTAAGTTATGGTTTGCCCCAAAAATTTAATTCTTCTAAGTGTGAAATTGTATATTCATATACTCTTGTTCCTCCTACCCTTAGATCAAAAGGTGACGTAGTTCTCATCGTCCAATGTAGAGTCTACTTTCAGATGGATAAAAACTATCAACTTCAAAGGAGTAGCATTTCACTAATTTAATTACCGCGGTCACGTCACGGTTTTTTTGTGATTTCCTACATTTGTTATTTTATTTAGTTTTCTGTGTATTCTGTTTTTTTTGGTAAACCATTTATTGGGAAAACAGCCTCACTTTTGACACACATTGCATTCCGGTATACAGTTTTTCAGACTTCGTTTTTGATATATGAACGACAATATTTTTTCAGATAAACAACACTGGGTGAATATCAAAAGGCTTTGTCGGCAAAAAATATGGGGCTTATACACTGGTTAGTAAGGCAGTGAAAATAAGATAGCTTTGTTTACTTTATAGAAGTACAGAGCACAACTGTATCTATTACACTTATTGTAATAGCGTCGACTACTTGATGTGTGAACACTGATATTTCAAACGTCTTATGGGCTCAAAAACAAGGGTTTTTAGCTTTGATTCGCATGCCTACAGTTACACGCAAAAACGAGATCTAATTCAGTTGGTAGAACTTAAGAAAATAAGATGGGCCGTTTTGAACTTTGTAAATGTTTACATTGCACGAACGCTATCGACAAAGTGTAATAGATCCAAGTGCAGTAAGTATTTTCTATGACCATGTTCAAGTCGCGCGAGCAGATACTCGCTAATCTAATAATAAATATGTTCTTTAGTTGGGCACTAACCATTGATCGACTAGAAAACGACTAATGACGATTTAATTTAAAAAAATAATATTCTTCTCTTACATCTTTCGTTTGAATTTACTCGATGAGAATTAAAGTTTACCAATATATTAACTTATTTCAAGAGCAAAATCTCTAAACAACACATTAAATATATATCACTTATTTAGTGTATTGATAATGTTTGCTTTATCCTTTTCAATAATTACAATTTTTACAAAGTCTATTGTTGTGCTTAAATCATCTTATACATAAAATTACTATATATCTAACCATGTATATAGTAGATATATCTGATTTTAATGAATTTGTTCAAACCCTAGTTTGTTTTTCTAAAATGGCATTCAAACAGAAGTTTGGCACTTTTTTTCATATCGTATAACATAAATTTAAAATATGACAACTAAAAATGGAAAATTTCAATCGTTAAAACGTCATGTATTACAGATATCTATTAACGATAGGCCAAGTAAAATATTTATACTAAAAACACCTTAAATAAATTTATTTTAAAAGTTAAACAAGTATATTTATAACCATAACTATTTCTAAACAAAGATGGATAGTGACCAGCAGTGGAATCCAGAACGCAAGCTTCGTCTTATTTGAGACTCGTTAGCTGGATGTACTGCACCTCAGATTTGATGTTCACTCTGAGACTTGAAGCCAGTACCGTTCGCTTCAAACGTCATCGCGTCATCCACTTAGCTAGTAAGTACTGATATCCACTTGTTTGTGCAATTAGGTTAAGTTTAAATTCACTTGGTATTGTTTACTTGAATCCTCTCATTGATGTTTAGGCCTGCAATTGATCAGTCGCTTATTGAGATATGTGTATACTATGCGTATTGCCTCCATATTGCCTTAATTCACAGAATAAACATGAACCCTGAGATGCAGGTACATCCAGCTGACGCGTCCCAGATAGAACGAAACGCGCGTCCTGGATTCCGCTGCTACCACTATCCATTTTGCTTATCATGCTTGTGAATTAAGGCAATGTACATAGTGAGCACATATACCAATAATAGACTGATAAATTGCAGTCCTAAACATCAATTGGAAGATTCAAGTAAACAATACGAAGTGAATTCATAACTATTTCTGTTATAATGTGATTGAAACGAAATACTACAAATACATAATCTAATAAACTTTATTGGTAATTAGATGAAAGCATACTATCACTTATAATAAAATATCAACTCCTAGTTCATATCTCCATTTTTCCACTACTTCAAATAAATCACCGAATTATTCATTGTGATTAAAACCAGGTTCATCTATTGTCACTCTTCTTTAATCTTTTGTACTACGTCAAGTTATTGACAATGCATGCAAATATATATAACTAAACATTTTCTTACAATTAGAAACTAATATGTAACTATAATTATAAACATTTTAAATATCTAAAAGACTTACCTTTTGGTATCAGCAGTTAGTTTTGTTAAAAGATTTAATGTGTTTGTTTGACGGGATTCATCTTTCATATGAAGAATAAGTGGTAAACACTATATGGGAATAAGGAAAGAAAGAAAATATTGATAAAAAGTGTCTTAATAAAAAACGCCCATTTCACAGAACTTAAAATGAGTTTGTAAGTAACTTGTAGGAAGTGAATCATAACCATATTTTAATTTTTACTCTAAACAATGTTCATTCCTTGTAGGAATGAAAGTTTACCATGAATTTATTTAAACACATCAATATGTGCTAGAACATTGCTTTGCTAGTGGGTTCAAATGTGATCTAGAAAGTTCTATAATGTTGCTATAACATTCATAATTACAGTCGATTGACATATTAGTAGCTGACATAAAAGTTATCTTATAACCGTGCTTTACTTAGGACCAGTTTATCCATGTTAGAATACGTCAACTCAAGTTTATAATGTATAGAAGATGTGTCTACATAAAACATGTTAACGACCTCATGATATAAATAAACTTAATTCAAAGTATTTGACTTGTTTCATCAATATTCTTACCACTTGAACAGTTTAAAAACACAAATTTTAAGGAATATAGTGCACTCATATTGTTAAATCATAAATATTCCAAACGACATTTAAGTTCATATATATTCTATCCTATATATTAAACAATTTTACCATTCTTTAACATTTATGACATTTATTGCTAAATAGTGAAAATCTACTTAAATTCACTCACAATAGTAAGTGTTTTCTTCTTAATTAGAAATCTTTAAAGAGAAATCTTATAGTTTTATTTCTTACATAGTAACAGATATCGATAGTTTAACACTTAAATAAACACTACTATTTGGTTAAATGAATTAATTCTAGTTAATTTATGCATTCATATTTAATGGTGAACAATGAATTAGAAAGGTGTATTAAATCAGTGCACATAAAATTAAAAACACATAATGATTATTATGTAAATTGGATAACATTGACCTTGGAAAAAAAGTAGTAGATCTATTTCTAGGGGTATTAGAATTGATGAAATTTATAAAATATAAACTTTGTAAATATTTATCATGAGGATTTAATGATATAGTGATCTGTTCTTCAATGATTTTTTAAATATTTTTTTCCTTTTATCTAAATAAATTCTGACTGGGTTCATTGAACATATTCTCTTGAATGTCAGCGACATTATTATAGCCGAATAATTTTCCTCCTCCTCCTCCTCCTCCTACTACTACTACTACTGCTAATACTAATACTAATACTCATACTTTGATCTTGTTGATTTACCCTACTCTCAGCATACAATACTGAAACTAAAATGAGGATAACTTTTTAAGTAGTAATAATATAGCAATATTAAAGCAAAATACCAGTTTGTAATGTTCCTAAATACTGAATGAAAGATTATTTACAGAAATTTGTTCTTATCAATTTGTTACATAACTTATTTCAAGGCGAAATTCTTGTCTCCCTATATTTAGTATTTTTCTTTTCCAGTTCATTATCATTTATGAAATATATTATTACGTCATTTTCCTATTCATTTACAAAATTACTTCATATTCATTTAAACCAATGCATTACTTCTAGATGATCAATTCGAATTATTATCAAACTCGAATATTGTTTTTTAATCTTTACTAAATAATAATTGACTAAGGATATTAACATGATAATATTATTAGGATAGAAAAGAACATTGTAATAAACGCCTCTTGATCTTCGAATAAGCAGCTTATTTAAAATCCCACATAAATTTTCAAATGAATATATTCCCTCAATTTTTATCCATCTATTGATTGAACAAGATTATTTTTTTCATTACATAAAAGTTATCAATCAAGTTTTCATAATTATTATGCTCATACTAATAACTAGAAATGGGAAAAATTACTATATTTGATAGAAATCAAATTTTTGTTATAACTAGATCATGATTAAGAAGAGATGTGACAGCTAACGGTTAACTAATGTGAAAATAAATTTTAGGCAAAGTTCTGTTGTTTTTAAGTATCAACGATCTTTTATAGTCTCCTCGTTCATATTAATTTATTTACAGTCGTATTCACTTTATTCTGTCTTATACAAAAAGTGTGGTAGTAACGTGTTAACTTTTAAAGGGAATTCTCGACTGTAGTTCAATCATTCAGTTATTTACTACTGGCTCAGTTTCAGGCTTTAGGATGTTGGTTTTATCATATATTTACAAGAGGATTGTATAAAACTTAATTTGATATAAACTCTAATAAATTATCTCAAAATTGTATTATGACAACAAAGGCATAATATAAATGGTGGAAAACGCCATAATTGCGATGAGAACAGATAAGTGTTGAGATAGAATATCCGTGAAAATTACCCAATTTAAAGTTTTTATCAATATGGGCGATGACCAGTAGATTATTGAAGATTAAGTACGTCTGAATGTATATCTTTCCCTAGTTCAATAATGACGAGTACATCATCCTACGTATGTTCGGATTCAGTACGATTACGTCTGATATATAATACGATATCTTTAAACCACTGAGTCTCAGTTTAATGATCCATAAACAGCCAACATCAATTTCGAAATAATTTATAGAATGAAACTATGGATTATTATCAAATACAAAGATTTTCACACAAGCTCCTTTTACCGAATTTGGTTAATGAAATTACTACATTAAAAAAACCAGTTCTTTTTATCTAATTCTAAGAATATGAATCCGATATTTTTGCGACCGGAAACTCAAGAGTTTTCGAGCGTGTTAATATGTAAACTCCAAACAAAGAAGTCATTAATTCCAAGTTGAAATCAAAAGAATTTAAAGGCATTTCTGCAATTCTGTTCGAAAATCGGTAAACCTTAACGCCACTCTATAAAAACTGCAACCACCTTGTTACTTTAAACAAAGTATACTAAAACACTATCACATCAGATTAGAATTTCTTTTAGTTACAAACAATTAGTCATTTATTTCTTCAATTCCGACTTATTTTCTGTTTGAGATAATCTACTAATCACTTTACACTGTGATCCATGATAGATTGTATGCCATATGTTTTATAGAAATCTTAAATATGACCAAATTAGAATTACATAATAATAATTGTTCTGTTGCTATCTTTCAACAATACATTATAATTAACTCATTTGACTAAATTTTATTCATTTCAATTTTGTTTTTTTACCTCTTTGCATAGGCAGATATATTCCTCAAAAATTTCACAAAATCTTTCAGGTTCAAATCATCAACCATAACCTGGCAATATCAGTTGATATGAATAGTTAAGAGACTATGCATTACCGTATGTATAACTACTGAAAACCGCTTTTTTGTGTCACATGATAAGTTTAAGTGGAAAACGTCACAAAGCTAGTATTCATTGTATGATCAATTTAATAGGCATTTATGTAAATTTAAAAATTGAAAGACTAAAGTACACATATACATTTAACATAGGTGACATGCTTTTATTCACATGAAACAATAAGAATTAATTGATTCCGGTTCAAGTAACTTTTTTAACGTAATATACTTAAGGCAACTATAAAAACCACTATTTGATGAACGTTTAAGCACTTTTAGCATTTAATATTATGATTTATATGGAACATTACATAATCTATTACTTTTGTACGTGAATTATGTCAAATAAACTATTTAACTAGTCGATTCATTACACAGAATATATATATATATATATATATATATATATATATATATATATATATATATATATAAATGAATATGTTAATCATCTTTACGTAATTGTTTCTTCCTACTTTGGTTGTTCGATCATTAAACACGGAACTTTCTTGAAATTAGTTTTGAAACCACACTACTGACTAGTTATTGAGATATGAATGAATAATTTATAATAACCTAATGTCTATTAGATTTGAATATCAACCAGTGGGCGGACTATTCTGGAAGTCTGAACTTGTTATAAACTCAGATATCTGATACAACATCACAGAGTGAATTCAAGCGCACTACTGTGACCTCTTAGAAACCCACTGAAGGGTTTTTCAATAGCCATCATATTACCAATGTTTTCTATGATAAAAGCCCTCATAAAATTCATGTTTCAGCCATACTTATTCTGGTTATAGACACGTTTTATAAGTTGAACTGAATGAATTATACTCACCTCGTAAGGGTTTATCATGAAACGAGACTATAAAAACTGTTATATCCGGAAATTTGTTTCGATATACCCTAACAACTATAGGTAAACATTGAGTCAGCTCACTTTTGATTACTAACTTAAAACAATTGAATAAGCAACTAAGGCAACAGGTTGTACAATATAATATTTTTATTTTTAAAAACAACACACTTACTAAGTTCCTTGGCATAAAAAGTTTATCCAACTCGGCATTTGTTGAATCTTCAAGTTTAAATGATTTCAAGTGATAATTAGTAGATTTCAAGAATTGATTATTCAATATTAATGTAAATAGATCATTTGAAGTAATCTAAACAGTATATTGAATAAATACAAATACAATGTATTACAAGTACATCATATTCTCACAACATTTTAGCCAATCTATCAAAAAATAATTCTGAATAACTAACACATTTTTTTTTCTTAAAATTTAGTTGGACTAAGTTTACAATCTAAATAATCACAACATAAAGAATGTGTAGAGTAAACAATGATGATTCTATAAAATCACCAATAGTTATTCCACAACAAATTGCCAATTGAAGATTTAAAAAAAACTGTGTAAACTGAGCCAACTTCTCTTTTATCTTTCATAAAATTAAAAAAATTACTCAATCAGTTGAGTAAAATCTATAGTTTTTTTAATATTATGTATATATGATTACATTTTTCTCTAGGTCACATAGTTGGCAACCAGAGTGTTTTTTTTCTCCAGAATTACATCTCATGCAATATCGACTTGATATTAGCCACTTATATTTTCTAGTCGGTTAACCATTAAATATTATGATTCTAATAAAAGACTGAATGAAACTATTGAAGTGATAAAACCATATTTTGACGTCATCTACAGATCAAAAAAAGAATAATGAGAAAAGTAAAAAATGTATCTGTGCCACTAAATCAAGTGAATTCTGTAATTGATTCACTTGTCTACATAATTATGCTGTATTAACTGTCTAAGTAACAATATATATCATGTAACTATATGATACTGCTCAACTAATCAGTATCTATATATGGACTTTTGATTTATTATGCACAGTTGAAAAGATTGTAGCTGTAAGTGACAACCTTATTCATACCTTTGTGGTTGATACTTATATTTAGAGATTACGTGGTTTAGAATTTATAAGGAAACGTAATTTATGTAGTTACACTTAGTGATAAAAATATAAAGCTTGGAAACTGATTACGGATTCATAAGTTAAGTAAAATCACTAAATATATTGTAATTCCATTACTTTTGAGCTAAAAGAAATGATTTTCACGATCTGTTTATTTACAAATTAAAAAATTCACATAATTTTCAGCCACACTCAGTGTCTCAAATTTATGATTATAGGATAGTCGTCTACAGATATATGTATAGCAATGAAGTGATTCAATAGATAGGCAGTGGTACTCTTCACTAAAGGTATCTTGGCAGAGACAGTCGCTTATGTATTTTGTGACTGTTTAATTTCTGAATTCAGTGTTCTATCTACGACAACTATGAAGTGTAGTTCGTAGTTCCAGTTAGCTGTATTCTGTGATTTAAGTTGACTTCTAGGAGTACACCATATCACTAAAACAGCCCAACATTGAACAGTTTAGTGAAAAGATTCCATCGCCAATTAAAAAACTCGTTTATGCCACAGGCGAATACAATAAAATGCAGTGATGTACTGCAACTCGTTCTTCTGAAAATCCGACTTAGTATTAAAGAAAATATCTAGTGATCGACAGCTGAATTAGTGTATGGCACAACTTTAATTTGACCCAGAAAACTACTTAACGAGGATGATAAACTGAATGGCAACTCAACAGGATTTGCCAAACTGTCACTACAAACAAGGAAACAAATGAAGTCAGATTCCCATGCACATATACTCGTAGTGAACAGATTATCCGACACCTAAGCACATGAAAATCTATTTTCACCTTGGGACACTCTAAGAGGAAGCTATGCGGAGATGGTTAATTTGGAATCAATTTATGAATGGTCTTTGTTATTATTCACATCCTTCAAAATTTCATTCTATTTGTACAGTTCTCATTGTTTATTGTAAAATGTTTGAACTGTCAAATTAGCTTCCACGCGTAAATATATTTGTCATATTAACAATCGTTAAATATAATACATGTGCTACTCACAACATTTGGTGCTCTCTCTTTTAACTGTATTTAATTCATCAGGTTTATATAAACCTGTTCATACATATTTTAAGTTGCTTTCTCCAATATTTATCAGGTGAAAACCACATTTCAAATATTTGATTACATATATATAAACCTATTTGGAGATAATGATTCTCCTATATAAAACTGGTGATTCAGCTTGAACCTATTTGGTCATACAGACACTCATCACTCACAAGAAACCATATTTTATAACATCCTAACTGTTTCATATTATTTATCAACTAATTAAATCCATTGGTCTTTTTGTAAATTCATATACTCGTATTTTTGGCGTATTGCTTTATACTAAAAGGTATTTTCAAAGATATCACAAAATTTTTTATCATTTGTAATTGTAATTCATCTCATATATTGCAGTTGTAATAAAAAAAAATAATATCAGTAACTAGATTTCTATCTGCTTGCGTAAATGAACTAGGTGAATTAAAATTTGATATTCAATAAGTTATCAGTAGATGTTGTCTTTTATAATCATTGAAAAAAACCGAATATCACACGTCAAATAGCTTATCAAAAATGCAAAAATAATAAGGAGTATGATTAAACTGAAACTTACAGCAGTATAGAAGCTTTGAGATATGAATTTCAGAGTGAAATTTACTTGTTGCTTATCATTATTGCAAAATTCATTATTTTTTAGTGTTAAATATTGAATATCATTTGAAGAACTGTATAGAATTTTGCTATTAATGAATTGACTATTCAAAATATCTAGGGCACCATCAGACCATAATTGAAGATAAAGTGTTTCACATTCATTAGCTTCTTCACAGGTGTTAAACTCAAGTTTTATTAAACAGGATTGGCGTGCAGCTGAATTGTACTTGAAATGACCATAAACTAATGCACTTCTTCCAGTTGTTAGAGGATGTGGTAAATCCATACTGCTATCACATTTTATTGACTTTAATAAAACAACGAGTTAAAGTAAAAGCATGATTATAATCAGAACGGTGAAACAATAAACCTTTTATCGTACATTAAAGCAAAACATTTCAAAAATGTATATATTTGTTACTTTCCCACTGAAACTACTATAGTGTTGCATTGGTCATCATAAAATGTTGATAGACTCACAATGAACTATTTTTTTTGCCAAACTTATTTAAAAATCAATATTTTATGAGCATGAATTAACATCATAAGTTGATTGAATTATGTCGTATCTATGAGGAAAAAAAACCCAGTTGGTTCATTATCATATGTATTGTGTAATCAACCAAAATGAGTCATATAATAAATTTTGCAAGTACGAAAAACAATTATAAATGGTACGATGTAGTTCTATCTCATAACACAAACATTATTAGATTAGAACACTTTTTGACTAGATTTGTGTCTGAAAACTGATATCCTAATAAATTCATTTTAGCTTAATTGTTAATGTTAAGCCTTCAATATAATACAACATTACATAATAAACAATAATGTACACATATAATGATTTGGCAAAATGAAGGTTTGATCATTGTTTTAATTGTGACTACAGATATATATATATATATATATATATATATATATATATATATATATATATATATATATAATAGATAGATAAAGTAAGATACGAAGTTTAAATTAACCTACAATGTAGTTAACATACAAAAACGGTAATTCTATCTATGTCAAATAAAAATCTTAAATTAAATGGAATTTAATTAAAAAATTATAACCAACTTGCCAAATATTAAGAAGAAAAACATTATCATAGAAGAATATGATCTGGGTTAATAAAGATCTGATGAGAAACTGTAACACATTGGGACACTATGTAAACTAATTAAAATAAAACTACAACGGTATTTCACTTATGAAGCTTAATTCATTAATTACTATACATGTTAGATAACCTTATTAAGATTATTGTTGTGATACATACTTTAGTGAATTTTTTTATAGATATTTTTTTAAATGAACTATTCATATCACTACATCCGATCATTTTAAATGTTTATAATTATTATCAGAAGGGTTTTTGTGGATATAATAGTAATTTCAATGGTTGAGATCATGAGTCAATTGAAGCTAGACCACCATGAAAAATCTGGAAGCATTGGACGGCCGTTTCGTACTATTGTAGGATTGCTCATGGGTGCTTATCCACAAGCCCGCCTCACGAGATTCGAACCGAGGGACTATCAGTTTTGCGCGCAAGCGCTTAACCACTAACCCACTGGATTGGTTGAAGTTAGACATTAACACCATTGGATGCCGGCAGGCTCAGTGGTCTAGTGGTCAAGTGCTCGCGCGCGAGACTGATAAACCCTGGGTCCGAAACTTGTGAGGTGGGATCGTAAGTGCGTGTTACTGAGGAGTCCCGCAATAGAACGAAACGGTCATCTAGTGCTTCTAGGTTTTCCATGGTGATCTAATTTCAGTTGATTCATGTTTATAATTATTGTTAAATTACTATAATATACTAACCTGAATAATATCTTTTAATAAATAGTTTTGAATTAAATGTTTATGAACAATAGGAGCTGAAGCGTAAACATTTGATGTATAATTTGGATATACATTCCCATCTATACGGATTGGATTATAGGCTAAAAGAAATGTATGAAAAATTAGTGTTGTATATACCTGTGTAGTTTTACTAAGATTAATAAAATTTAATTTTATTGTGAAGATTATTAGTTGAACAGTTGGTAAACATCAATAATGATAATTATTATCTCCAATGTAGCTCTGTTACAAAAGATGTAGGTTTACAAATATTTATATTTAAATGCTTCAAAAACATTGACACAGCTTAATCCTAACATAACAGTGAAGTTAAAATGATGAAAAATGTTGAGCACATAAATATCTAGTATAGTCAACATGTACTATATGACTACTTCTATACTAACGTACGACATAGGTCAGGTACATTTATTTATTAATTATTCTACATATAAGTTATTGATAACTTGGATATTACATTTCAATATAAATAACTCTCAGAGTTTCGTACCTTATAACTTATTCAGAAGTCAAAATAATAGTTTTTATTATTGAAAATATTTCACAAAAATTATAATATAACGTGAACTTAAGAGTAAATAGGAAGTGAAAAAAACCCTCCTTACGTGAATTAGAGCTGTTCAACCAAGATGAGACTTCTTCCTTTTTAGTACCTGGACGTTTTCTATATTTTGGGGTCAATTTTCGATCAGTTGGTTTAAGCGATGAGATACTGCTGCTGACTGATTCTTGACTGTCATTTCTATGTAATCCCATATTACGTCTAGCTTCACGTTCCAATTTCGTTGATCGTTTAGAACGATAATTTCTCAGAGAACGTTTACGATCAAAATAATATTGACTTTTACCTACTTCTAAGTAACATTCATTGTCAGTATACACTTCACTGCCTCCACTCTCTGTTTCATCACCATCTGATATATGTTCACTTAAAGAAAGAGCTTTACGTGTAGATTGCACTTTTTCTTTCAGTACATATTTTGTTCTTTGTATTTCATTGGTATTAGTACCAGTTAGGGTATAATCTGTATAGGGTAGATGATCTGCTAAATTATTTTTGTGTATATCGGCAGCTATCTCTGATGCACTTCCACTGGGCTTAAAAGGTTTTTTTCCTGATGTATCTACTGTAGGATACGGATGGAAGTTTTGATCACACCTCTGAGTAAGAGTTATATCTTCATGGTTGGGACTTTTAGTTCTCGAGTTTATTATTGCCGCTATTTCAGGAGCTGTACCTTTTAATTTTAAATTTGCAATATCAGAGGGAGGTTCATTATGATGTCTTGATTGCTTCGGTGAATGATCTGTTGGTGTAAATGGTCTTATATGTGAGCCAGAACCTTGAGCAATGGTTATATCTTCTGGATTTGAAGTAGGATGCTTCGAGTGAATTAAAGCTGCTAATTCCGCGGCTGGTCCTTTAAGTTTACCTTGTGAGTGCAAATCACTTAGAGATGAAATCTCGATGGATTTTCTTGAGTCACTCAACGTCTTGTGTTTAGATGGATCATAAGAACTACCAACATTTTCATATCCATCATAATGTTTCCTATCAAAAGGTGCGAAATGAGTATCTTCACTCAATATTTCACGACCAGTTAAATTAACTATATCAAAATCAGCTGATGGATTGGATTTGTGAAGATAAGCTGCAATTTCAGGTGCTGGTTTTTTAGACATCTCTTTTGGTAATCGTTCAGTGACAGCTACATTAATTGCCGGATGTATAGTGTTCCTAGTAAAAGCAAGATCTGATGATACTGAAGGTGTTTGATCTGAAATCGTAATAACATGAAACAAGGTTACTTGATAACAATGAACCATACAGAACAAAATTTTCAGAACAAAATTTCAATAGCCATCATACTTTATTTCACAATAAGTAAACTTAAATAATTTACGTTTTTACAGATTTTATATTGATTTAAAATTAAAAAGTTTAAGGAAAGGAACCTACAGTATTCTTACCCAACGTGTCAATTATTCTTCAATGGTTGTTTAGGTCCTAAAAAAACTTATACAAAATTACTATAAAAATAATTTGGTTTTTACAAAGACGAGTTCTGAATGAACAATTGTATATATTCGATAGGAATCGTCCTCTATTTGTTTAGTTAATGGTTAATAGCTAATATTAGTCAATTCAAGATTGTTTCAAATATAGGTTTCCATATCAAGGTTGGATTTGATAGTTTTAAATAGACTGAGCATTTGGTAGAGAGTTAATAATAAATATACATTTTGTTATATCAAAATGAGTAGAAAAGTTGTGTATCTGACGTTTCATGACTTAATGTAAGCCACTTCTTTAGAGTAAATAAATAACCGACAATAAATTAACACAAGTTTAATGTCGGTTCTTCAGATCCATTGGCCGGACACTATTAGCAACAACGTACTGTGGGAGAGAACAAACCAGATCCCAGTGGAGGAAGAAATCAGGAAGAAGCGCTGGAAGTGGATAGGACACACATTGAGGAAAGCACCCAACTGTGTCACAAGACAAGCCCTCACATGGAATCCTGAAGGTCAAAGGAAAAGAGGAAGACCAAAGAACACATTACGCCGAGAAATGGAGATAGACATGAGAAAAATGAACAAGAATTGGATGGAACTAGAAAAGAATGCCCAGGACAGAGTGGGCTGGAGAATGCTGGTCAGCGGCCTATGCTCCATTGGGAGTAACAGGCGTAAGTAAGTAAGTAAGTTAATGTCGGTTATTTGTTTACTCTGAAGAATTGGCGTACATTAGGTCATGAAACGTCAGAAACACTATTTTTCTACTAATTGGGATATTACAAATATATGATTTTTACTTATAACAATCTACCCAATACTCAATTTATGCGAAATCATCAATTCAAACCTTGTTAATGATACCTACATAGGTAATTATATTTCTTCCGTTAGATTGCTTAATTTAATTTCGATTTTCTTAATAAACTCATATCAGTATCATTCGAAAATGAGTGTGGTATAGTTTAAGACTCCTCAGAATTTCTTACACATGACCGGAAACAAGATTAAAGCCAAGATCTACTGGTCATATAATAAATATGTCATATTCATACTACCATGTCACAATTCAGTGGTCTACATTTTCAACATAAATCATTACATGATTAATACTATCTTCATATTGTCTTTCCATAGCTATAGTTAAATCCTATTAATATCAGCTTTTCATTAGAACTTTAGTAATCCTCCTCGGGGTTAGCCAACATTAGGGGTATTATTATTATTAAGCTAGTGGATTTGAGAAAATTTAGTGGTTTAATTCAAGGGTACGAAATTTTAAAATCTTAAATCCAATTCACTTATCTGACCTAGAATAATCTGAGTGAAGGAAGCTAAGAACAATGGTTTCGTACTGGAAACATGTATCTATAAACCTTATACTTAGTACATTTGCATTAAGGAACTTACAGAATTTCAGATTTGCCACTGTGATGAATCAGGATTATCTGGTTAATTAACAGTAGCCCCTGAAAATTAATTTGCCAGAAACTACTATGAATAATAACTGGATGTTCTAAATAAAGATGTTTGTACTATTGAGAATGATTTGTACAATAGTCATGGTGTTTATTATAAAAAAGTGGTTGGATTTTTACAGCATATAAAACTACTGAAATGATTAAATTTAAATCTCGATGAACGGATAATATTACAAATTATGAGATCGGCTAAACTGTATAACCTATAACTGATTGAATGGTGAAGAATCGATTTAAAACTGATTTTTCCAACTAAACTGTTCTATGAACGGACATGCTAACTAATAACCTATTTTTCGAACTTTCAAACAGTTTAGAGAGATCGAAAAGATAAAACTGTGGCTCCATTGAAGACAGATAGTATTCGGATATTTTCACAACAGACGTAGGCACATATTATTAAAAACCAGTTGAAATAGGAACTTATATCAGCTGCTATACGAACCGCTTCATGAACAGAGAAAAAACCTTATTCGGGAAATGTTTCGACATTGGAAATATCCAAAAAGCTCTAGTTACACACACTAGCTTCTAAATAGTACCCCCATCAGATAGCTTAGGATTGCTCTCAGTTATATTCATAATTTACCCTTTTTATCAGTCTAGTATTGATATGAAGTAGACCAACTTTATTGTCGCTGTTTGGGCGGTTGATAACACAATTTTCTGCTATTTGTCATTCTAATGACTTTTACATGTTTTTTTTGTTGCTTTATCAAATGTATAATGTACTTATTTGATTGTTAAGTATTATAAGTTAGAGAAGAAGGATTGAGCGATAAAGATGAGATAATTGTCATTAGTACGTATTAACACTGTGAAATTCCCTTCATCCACAGTAACTTTATTTGACTAATCTAGCTATGGTCATACTGACTGTACCTTTAGTTTTCGAACGTTTAAAAGGATTTTTTAAATGTAAACCCTTCTTCTTTTTCTCGCCTTCTCCATCTTTCAAGCTTATGTCTGGAGTAGATCCTTTGGATTTCTTAGAGTCATTACGTACATCTGACTCGGAGCCTGTTGATTTTCTGTTCTTTCCAAGTAAACTGAATCGTTTTTTCTTATGTTTGTCTTGCAAGTTAGGTGTTGATGTTGTAGCAGAAAGTTGAGATCCTATATGATCTTCGTCATCCAATACAGAATAGCTTCCATGGTGTAAATCGCCTGCATCTGTCTGACTTCTGCCTTCGTTAAAACGTTGTTCAATTTTACTATTACTTAAGGTAGCAGACTTCCGAGAACCAAAAATAGATGTTTTCGGTTTTGTATGTGACGCATCATTTGTATTAAGGTTACCTCGACTTCCCATTACGTAATCTGATACTCTGTCATTAGCTGACTTGCCTAGAGGTGGTAATGTTCCAGAGATTCTTGTGTCTGAATTGTGACTAAAATCAATACTATTACGATATGAATGGGCTGCAGAATTTCGATCTAATGTAGATACTTTGTAATCAACGTCTAAATATGCTCTAGATAAATCATTTGACGTTTTCCAAGCAGTAACTTCTAGATTACTATCTTTACTTTTTATTGATTGTTTCTCCAATTTGGAACCTGTTCTTGTTGGTACCATCACTGGCGGATCATTTCTGCGTATGGAACTTTGTCTTAACTCATTGACACGTACAAAGCCTGCTTGTGCATCATCCATTCTAATGCTATTACTGTTATTATTAGCAGAAGACATGTTTGTATTATTATTCATTTCCTCTTCATCATAATACATGTCTTTAAATTCAAGAGATAATATATCAACTTTTCCTTGCATTGATAAAGCAAACGCTTCATTCAATGGTACAAGATGATCTTGACCACAAACATCCTCCCCGTTTAATTTAACCTATAGAACGAGAGAAAGAATAAGAACAGGACAAGAAAAGTTGAATGATTTGAAAATTAAAAATGAAATTTCATTTGAAATATATAAATTTATATTTCAAGTTCAGTTATCGTCTTTCCTCTTTTTCGGGGTGATATAATTAATTCTATATGTTCTTTATAGATTTCAGAACTGTGGAATATTGACTATTATCTTCACTACACAGTAATAAATTGCTGAGTTTGCGATATATACCACGAAGTTCGTTTGAACATTTAGGCAATTTTAATGCAGAAAGATGTATGAACCATAGCATATATTCTTAATTATGTCAATTATTGCCCAATTTAAAGGATTTGATAACTGAGATTTTGGATCAGGGATTAAAGTTTAGATCTTAAAATTTAGCCATAGAATACAGTTGATAACTAGTTATAGAACAAGTATTACACATTACTTCTTGCTATAAAACTAAGTGTTAAACACATTTTTTAATCATTTTTAAGCGATCACGATTCTGTTGTTACATCATGACATATTACAATAATCGATCTGGATCAATTATTAGATTAGTTACTTACAGAAATTAAGCCTTAGTTCTTACTTAACATTTGTATTTCCAATTGTTAAACCATTAAAATGAATATGATTACCAAAGTTACCATAAAATAAATTCACATGAAACGTTCTTATTTTACTTAAGATGTAAGGATATCACAGTCATAGTATCCGCAATATGTTTTAATATATATCGTTTTACATTCTCAAAAAAAGTTACTTTTGTACACTGTAATTAACAATTACAATAGTAAAACAAATAAATCCCGGACATTTGTGTATGGCAAAATGTTTTTTTTTAAATCGACAAACGAAAATTATGTGACTCCATAGCTGAATAGTTACATGATGATCAGAAGAAAAATGATACATATACTTGATTATGAATTATGGAATAATCATTGAAAATAGTTTGTATTTAGTTAGTTATGTTTCTTTTAGGTTTTGTTGTCGGCTGACACAATCCAAAAATAAATGATCACCATGAGGTACAAAAAAGTTATTTAATACTAGTTATGATCTTTTAACAACGTGTTATCAAGTTTGTGCAAAATATGAACGCAAAAATGTTAGCTTATCCCAATTGATATCAGTCAGTCATGAAAAAATAATTCACTTCACTGATTAATGACATAAGATTAGTGGAATGAATAAATAATATGTTTAGAGAAAACAAATATAAAATGATAGGTTGTAAGGTGATTAGATAAATGGACATTTAAGCTATCTACAGAAAATCATTTCATTTATGAATTCTTTTTTAATAAACAAGCGCTATGTTACCAGGGCTACAATTATGTGTGAGAACGTATGTACGCACTTGATCTATATAGGTAAAAGATATCATTTATTAGATAATTGATAAAGTTGACATGTTTCTCCATTTAAAGAACTTTAGTGAAAACTGTATCTCTACGATTTATGTATACTGGAGACAACTCGTCTTAGGAAACAAAAAAAATTGGTTCTATTCTTGGTATTTCTGGTAGTTCCCCTAAAGAAAGTGAAAAATATATTCTTTATAAACACAGGTTATTTTAATTTGGGCGACTGTTGCTTGTGGTAACAATTGACATCATCAGAAATATCCCTATGTACAGGCAGAACTAGACAGCTGTTTAGATTTAGTTTACAACTTCAGCAGTACTCACTTTTTCGGTAAATATTCTAAAATTTGGACGATACAGAAGATCAGCATGGCCCCTGCTCAAGGATAACACGCGAAATTGTGAAGCATTTCATATGTTAACTCCACCTGTAGCTCTTCTAAGGCTAATGCCAACCTCAAGCCGCGATAAAGGAGGAGGGTTGGGCGTGGGGCCGGCGACCCCATCCCGTAGAAAACAACCTTGCTAAAAAACGCTAACCAGAATAAACAATTTAAAGTCTCTCCTGGCAGTTGAAGGAAGAATTATGACGCCTCATGATGAAAGCTGAGATTCTTCGGAAGTTACGGGGCCAATGCTCCTTCTAGCAACCAGATCAACAGTTAATATAGGTACATGGAACGTCCGGACAATATGGGAAATCAAGAGAACGGATCGAATAGCAACAAAAAAGAGGAGATACAACTTGGCAGTACTCGGAATCAGCGAAACCCATTGTACCCAAGCTGAACAACAAATGCTAGATACAGGGGAGATGCTGGTGTATTCCGGTAATGAAGAGGAAAATGCTTCACACACTCAGTGATTTGGTCGAATGCTGTTCAAAGATGCACGAAATGCACTTACAAGATGTGAATCTCATGGATCTAGGATCATCAAAGCATCCTTTAAAACAAAGAGGGAGGGAGCTACAATGTATGTTATCTAATGTTATGCACCCACCAATAAAACCAATGACAACCATAAAGAATAATTCTACGAGAGGGTGTGATCGATTATAACAAAGCCCCTAGGAAAGAACCTGAAAATCCTGATGGGAAACCTAAACGCCGAAGCCGGAATGGACATCATCGGATATGAAGATATCATGAAACGACACAGACTGTGAGAGAGAAACGAAAATGGGGAGAGATTTTCAAACCTATGTGCATTCAAGAAATTGGTTCTGGACAGCAAAGTATTGTCACACAGACGCATACATAAAACTATATGAGTGTCACCAGATCACACCACGGAGAACCAGATAGATCATATTTGTATTGATACAAAATTCAGGACAGTGGAAAATGTGAGAACCAGTAGAGGAGCCGACGTAGCTTCAGATTACCACCTGGTTGTGGTCAAGAACAAAATCAAGCTAAAGAAACACTGGACAACTGAACAAACAGCACTACAAACGTGGTACAGTTTTCCTTCGAGACACTGACATAATTAATTCAAGATAGTCCCCAGTAACAGGGTGCAGGCTTAGGATGGGCTACACTGCAAAGTGGTGCATGTGGACAGCTGACACATGCATTCCAAGTAAGAACTGGAGTCTGACAAGGCTGTTTACTCTCCCCCTTTCTCTTCCTTCTAGTAGTTGACTGGATTATGAAGACCTCCCCTTCTCATGGAGAGTACAAAATACAATAGACAACTTGGATGCGACTAGACGATTTGGACTTCGAAGGTGACCTAGCCCATCCATCTCATACACATAAACAAATGCAGATGAAGACAACTTGTGTAGCGGCAGCCTCTGGATCAGAAGACCTCAACATACACAAGGAAAAAAGCAAGATTCTCAAGTGCAACACGGAGGACACTAACCCAACCATATCTAATAGCGAAGCTCTGGAAGATGTGGAGTATTTTACGTACCTGAGAAGCATCATCGACGAACAAGGAGGATCCGATTCAAACGTTAGGGCGAGGATTGGCAAAGTGATGACCGCATTCCTACAGTTCAGGAACATATGGGACTGAAAACAACTAGTAACTAACATCAAAGTGAGAATCCTCAATACGAACATTTAGACTTCTACTGTATAGAGCTGAAATGTATGAGTTTTTATCAACAATTGAATATGTAAGATACCATCAGCAACAGTCTACTGCGGGAGAGGACAAACCGGCTTCGAGATGAAGAGGAAATTATAAAAAGACGTTGAAATTGGATAGGACACACATCGAGGAAATCATCACGAGGCAAGCGCTAACTTGGTATCCTGAAGTGAAACGGAAAAGAGGAAGGCCAAATAACACACTGTGTCGAGAATTGGAAGCAGACATGAAAAGGATGAATAGAAACTGAAAAGTACTTTCCAGGAAAAGGTTGGATGGAGAATGTTTGTAGGCGGCCTATGCTCCTCCATGAGGGGTAACAGACATAAGTAACTTACTAGATAAGTTCAGAGGTACCCACTAATATCCACTGTCAATGGTTAGACAAAGTATCATGCAGGTGAACAGCGAACACTTCATCCTTAGGTCTATCCATATACACATGAATATTTTATTCTTGGTACTGTTCATTATCAGTTTCAATGTTCGAACCCATTTTAGTGATCTAATAATATTTAAATGACAATGCCTGACAGCAAATGATATAAATTTTTAAATATGGACTGTAAGCTAAAACATGATATGGAGCTTTTATCACCGTAATATTATTTAAGTAATAAGTTTGTCAAACTGAGAGAAGTAGCTAAACTTCTAATTTTGTACTCCAATAACGCCTAAACTTGGTTTAGATGAAACAAAAAAGATAAAATATAAAATAAATCCACAAATTTCTCTTATTTTAATTTTCACACGGCTTAGATACTATGTAACCATGGGAACAAAGCACTTTGAATTAACTTGGACTTCAAACGTAATCAAAGCTTTTAATTCTCAAGCTTTTTGCCGCTTAATTAATTGTCACCAGCTGGAAGTAAATACTATTCATAACCTTTATTTCCTGATAAATATCTGGATAGATTATTTGATATTATTCATAAATATATATGTTGCATTAGTAAAAAAAATCAATAAAATCCCATACTCAAGCTTAATGGTATAGATGTAATCTTTATAGCACAGTTTTTAATATTTATAAGTGTATACAACCATAACAATTCTATTTGAAATTTCTATGGATGACTTTTAGAATATGCCTTAAGAAGCAGGATGTATGTGAAAAGGAAACCCTATACATTATACATACATAATACATATCAAATGCAATTTTGTGTCTGTCCAAAATAATAGGTCACTTAGTAAAAACTTGTACTCAGAATTCATGAAATTATTCAAAAATAATATATTATATGAACAATATTGATAAAATAAAACATTCATTTTTATTCAGCTTACAACATAACATTTCTTATAAGCATGTACGCATAATTCGAAAGCTTTATCAATTTGTATGCCATTTTCCACAGAACGTTCTTGTTTTGCTACCTTTTCTGGATTACGACTAATTACAGTTACTAAGCCATCTGTTGTTAAAATGATTTGTAGAGGTAATTTATCAAATATATTTTGAGTAGATGCTTCTTCTGTTAATAATTCAAAAACTATTCTGTAAGAAATTTCAAACAATAGATAGTATAAATAAAGGTAAATAGTTTTATGTTTTATATAATAAAGTTTTCTAATCTCATTAATATACTTGATGTAAAATTCAAATTAAATCACAAACTAATGTACAATTGGCATCATTCGATTCAAAAGTTGTTAAATTAAGTTGGGATATGGGCAACCATTCCTAGTTAGTTCCTTGTTCTCTTAGTTACTTAATTGTATAACAAATGGCTTCAAGTATATCTTCCAAAAACATTGTTTACTAGCTACGGTTTATTTAGGACCGAAAACTAACAATGACATTCTGTAATTTAAATGGTTCCATTAAATGCCTGTGTTTCACTTAATGTGCTACTTGTCAGGTTTTGTCAATTCAACTGAGTCTATGTTCAGCAGAGGTTATGTGGTTGAAAGTTCTACTTCACTTAACACATTCCATGCTTGAAAACCAGTCAGTTGAAATATAACCGATCTGTGTAGTGGATATCAATGAGTAGCAAAAACTGCTATTGTTCGAAAAGGAGCTGTTCCAGTTGCATGCTTTTTAAGAAGATAGATGTAAGCACTTACGTATAACACAGTTATCTGTACAAGTCTAGATGAGCAAAAACAAGTCTCGAGATGTTGTAGGAGTTATTGTTATATTTCTATTCAATCTACTTTTGTCTGCACAGTTCTATTCATTTAATGGTTTATTTCAAACTGGTCAAGTATTGTATGACTTTTCTGTTTCTATATTATCTGCGACCTTGCTAATTACATTCATGTGGATTTTTATGTGATTGGCCTGTGTGTCTTTGTTATCTTTGCTCTAATTAACTATATGTAATCATTACACTTTCCGCGTTAGAAAGAGATTAACATTTAAATCTCATTTAAACATTAAAAACACTAAGTTCAGCGAAGGGATCTCTTTTCAATTTTTAAATGAATCTTATTAACATTGACCCTGATACCTTCTACTGTTATTTGAGACAAACACATTTGAATAATGAATTCTTTATTGATTATTCCAAATCATCTCAACATGAATAAATTGTAGTTCATTGAGATAATCATACTGAATCACTATTGGTGTATTTATATGAAAGAAAGATATAATAATATTTTAACAGCTAAATGATTCAATTATGAATCTTTCGTCGTTGTTCATCAGTTTTGTAATATACTTAACGTGGATTCTGATAATGTCGTCGAAATCGACACTGAAACTGCCTAGCTTAGAGTATGCAGCATCAAGAAAATCAAATTATTGATAGTCAGAAGACTGTCATGTAATTATTTGACTTCAGTTTAAAAATTATGAACCTATTACTCTACTATTTCTAAATTCATCATATATAAATGTAAACTGGATTTGGTGTCCTGGTAATTATCTGCTGTCTTATTGTATATAATGAAAATCATGCGATAATAATTAATGCATTTTCAAACTTTTGGCAACCATACATAGAAAATAGTAAATTTTAGTAATCAACAACACAAATCTTCAGGGCTGTATTCCTCAATCACGTTTTCTTACTAACAACTTAAATCACCATCATTCTGATATAAAATTATTCTGAAAATCAAATAATTTAAGTAGCTCATTATTTATTATTAGTGTGAACTTTCTGAGAGGATCAGTTAAACCCCTTTTTCAATATTAACAAAATACTATGTTGATAAGCTGTAAAGAATAATTTCAGCATAACCTACCGTTTACCATGACAAACTCCATGAATTTCAATATAGTCTCCATCCATTAAACAATCCGGTATTTCATACGTGAATTCTGTATCCTGAATAAATCCAAAAAATATACATTAAAACATCTTTGATTAACCAATAATCATGAGAAATTGGTAAACAAACTTTAAATGATTCTTGTAATTTATTGGATGATACGTGAAAACTCATTTCAATATGTTCACAATTTATATGCTCGTAAATGTTTTGGCCTAGAACTTTTTGTATGCAAATAACGTAACTCTTCACAGTGTTTGAATAATATAAGGAAGTTTTCATAGAAAAGAACTCCTAAATCGGTTGAAATTATAGCTTATCACATTAATTACAACAATTTAGACGGCCTACTATCGTAGATACCTTATACATTTAAAAAATACAGAAGAGAACATTAAATAAATCATGGAACAGATACATCATCATTACTCTATTAATGAAGTCATTTGTAAAAACTAACAATACTTTATATTGTTTGTTAAATGTCTATTACACAAGATGACGATAAAATATAGCGTCAAACTGCTGAAAGCATAATTTAATCCAAATCAACTCCCGAAATTATCAACAACAAATTAAGGAGTAGAATAATATGTCTTTTTTAATACCACGAAATGTAGCTACTTAGCATACAATTTGAGTAAATATGTTTAGTTATAAAACAATGCTATTCATGTAATTCAATATCAATACGAGATTTCTTCAATTGTATGTTTAAAGCTTAAGTTCCTTCAGATCTTTAAGAGTATTCTTTTCCTCTGTTAAGCTCTGTGTTAAGCTCTGTTAAGCTCTCTGTTAAGCTTAAAACTTCAAGAATCACTATCGAAAATTAAAAAATGAAGAAAAGGTATCCAAGTGTAGTTGTCTTATTAGCAATCAAAAGTCATATTCTTAATTTTATATTAAATAAAATGTTAATTAGTAACTTGTTTAAATAAATCTGATCATATAATGTGTGATAGAGAAAAATCGTTTCTTTTATAGACTGGTAGCCCATTGATTAGTCAAATCATAAATTTCTATTCAAAAATCATTTATGAACCTGTGCGACTAGACTTAAGTGAATTTCGTTGGGAAGTATTGTGGATATGAATTTAATCTAAAGATTAGATTATTGACAAAACTTGGAAATTCAGAAAGAACAGTTGAATGGTAGAAGAAGTTTGTACGCTAATTTAATTTATACCCGGCTGATTGACATTTAACACTCAATAAGTTAGGTGATTAATAGAAAGTTTTACCTGTGCTCAGTCACACATTTACACAAGACAGAATAGAATATTGCATATCTTGCAATCAATGTACTGCAGTCCAGTTAATGTGCTAACATCCAAAGGTCCACATTTCCAGGTTCTATCAGAGCGATCAGTATACGAAGTGATGTATGAATAACCATACGAACATATGGCATTTTTGATTAAACTGGTAAAGACTTGTAAATGAATCTTGAGAAAAATCTTCTACTTACTAAATACTATGCAATCATTTACTGTAAGAAATATCCTTATTACAAAATTTTCAACCAGTAAAAGTCACCTTCGATTACATAACTGACAAATTAAAACTAAGTCTATAAATCATTAAGCTAAAAATCAACTAGATCGATACCATATCCGTACAATAAATCATGACAATAAAGAAAATGTCCAAATTTGTCATTCAGTAAAATTGAAACGCTCATCAATGTTCAAGCTAAGCATAACTATACAGAAGAAATTGTTTTGAAAATGTAAAAGATATAACTGACTTAATGTTGCTTTACTTCAAGTCAGTAGCTATAGAGAAAGAATAAAATGGAATGAGGGTGCTGGTTACCACTGATAGACGGCATCCCAAATACTAGTTGGTTTGAGATTGCTCGCATGAATCACCTGGTCGAAGCTAATTACAAGTTGGTACTTTGCGTCATGGTATATCTCTACACCTGGGGGAGCTTATTCATCTATAAGTGATTCGAACCAACGTCAGTGTTGGAGTAATATCATCAGGTTAGCAGCTGATATTCTGTAGGACTAAGGTATTTACCAATTAAATCACAGAGTATTGACTAGTAACCTTTCTATCTAGTCATTAACCCTGATCAAATATTATTATTAAGTTGTAATGTGGTAAGTGGTCCAAGTGGTGTTCTTTTGCATGCACTATGTCTTGACGTGCGATGTTTGAAGGTGGCTTAAATTTATCTCCGCTTATAACGTGGTCTGAATAGGTTATATGTAATAACAGACAAACATTTCATAAACCTCATGCATTATCTACTATTATAAATGGGTTGTTTTCGTATTTATCAATCATTTTGTAATGATAAGGTTTATTGATGGAAAATTGTACACAGTTATGTAAAAATAGTTGTTGGTAATTGTATAATTAAGATATTTAGTTGAATTACATTGTTTCACTGTCATGCTTAAAAACTTTGGTTTATTTTTATGCCATTTCTGCTATTTCATTAGTTAAGATCATGAATCAGTTTAATCTAGACAACCATGGAAAGCCTGGAAGCACTGGATGGCCGTTTCGTCTTATTGTGGGACTTCTCAGCAGTGCGCATCCACTACCTCGCCCCCTGCGAGATTCGAACCCAGGACCTACTGGTTTCTGTTATTGTTTTACTAAACTAATTAAAGGATGCCAAATCATATAAATGGGATCGAATGAAAAGGTGAAACTGTGATGATAATTTTGAGTTGTGAATTGTATGCGAAATCATTCTTCTGATATTAAACAAAGGTATTTTCGGTATTTTTCACAACCATTTTTGTTCATAAGAATGACGAGAAAGTATATAGACAGTGACTCTGTTCAAATTCATTGATTAAGTTACAAAATTCATGTCCTGAATGCGATGTAATGACAGTATGATAACTAAAAGCGCTATAGGAGTCACTAATTTTATTCTCATTTTAAAACAGTCTGCATTATATAGCATTATTGCTGATGTCTTCATAGAAGAATGAATAGTTAATACCATTGCTCACAATCAATGTCAGCATTACTACTAAGACACCATCAATACATAGTCAGTACAAATGTCAAACTTCAGTACTATTTACTTCTTACTTTTCAAACTCCACAGTTTATGATATGAGTAAATGCATCTCATTACAAACATACTACAATATTTTATTTCATAAAGCAATAGATTTATATCATGTGCATACAGTTCCACAAAAATTGAAAAAGACTCATAATTCTGTTAGTTTACATAATTTATCAAGTTAGATAACAGTAATTAAACCATTTCAAATCTTTTAACTGAATATGTATCCCTACATTGCAAATGGATTCAGTTTTATATGACTAAAGACTAATTTATTAAAACGATATTAATATCTTCTTATTGCTTGATCTTTTAAAGTCGTACTTACACAGTGATTCTCTCTAGCTATCTAGTCAAAATTTGATAGAGAAAACACTAAGGCTGAGTTACTTATTAACTGACTCTTAATTCTAGTCGCATTTCAATACATTGGAATAGTTTTAAACAAATAAACCAGTTTTATGATTAAACATAATACATTCACTATCCCATGATATCTGTTGTTTGAGACTTAGTAAACGAAAGTTGATTAACAAAACAGTTTTGGACTGTGCTAAAGATAATAACACTGAGGAAGTGGTACAACTCCTATATAAATTGTTATCTGTACATGAATGTTTATTTGAAAATTTTCCAATATTTCCCATGATATCGTCACTAATGAAAAGTATATTCATATTTTTTTCGTTCCTCTTCAAACCAAGTAGATGAATTTAATTCGGTTTTCCTTAATGTTTATAATCCATCGATTGTTAAGTAGTCTAGAACCGAATCTACTAAAACCTTCATTTCAATTGAGACTGTTAATTTGTCATGAATATTCTTAATTAGTACATGTCAACTTTCACTACAAAGTTCTCTGGCGGTTAGCAAAACATTCTATTCATTTGCTGTATTTATCTGTTTCAGGTTTGTAGCAAAATAATTTGAATCTATCTACTAAGTCGTACTAGAAATAGTTCAGTAAAGTAATACCTTCCAACGATTCCATCTTCAAATATTTACGATAGAACAAGAACATTAGACATTTAATGATTTGTATTGTCAGAATATTAGTATATAGTAAATTATAAACAGATAAAATGGGTTTCACATCCTTGTTAGTCGGCCATAGAATGAATTACATAATTTCATAGAGTTTATGCATATTTTAAAGGTAAGTTTCAACACGAATTTATGTAAGCCTATAAGATATCATTAAAAACCATAAACCAATGAACAGATAATTTACTCCAGTTTAGGAGTGTTCATTAGTGTCGATCCGAGGACATCAAAAGGCATTAACTCCTGAAAATTTTCATTTTACGATGAACATGGTTCTTATTTGAAAACTTCTGTCAATTCTTGACCTAGCTTGCTGTTCATTCGAATTGTAAGTGATGTAGTTACTCGATAATGATACTGGATAATAATTATATCAAAAACTTTTCGAAAGCTAAATAATGTTGACAAATTAAATGTATGACTTTTAGTGGTGTGTATGGAATTGAATAGATTGGCACTGAACAAAGTTTACGTACTAAGAACATGTTTTGCTTCATGTGAGATAAAACATTGTTTCCCTATTTGGATAAATAGCGTTCATCATAGTGTTATTCAGGTATCACTATTTATAACTATTATGTATTTAAATTTTCAGGGAACAGTTGAGTAATTTAAATGTAACGTCTCTAGAACTCAAATATACTGGTTCTAGATTTAGAAAAAACAAAAATTGATTTAACATCATATGAAAATCCTTACTCATAATAGTGAGCAAAAATTAATCCTAATTATATCTGTTTTCTTATTGACTCCAAACAAACCCTTAATATATCGATGCTATTTACTGTTCGCGAAATCAAATTTTATATATAATGAAAGAATGATGAAATATATTTTCGGTCAGATCTTTTGTCTAGGTTTAAGACTCCACTCTGAGGCGCACTCATGACCCTACACGGGACGTAATCTAACACTTAAAGTCCTATAAGCTATAATTCAATTACTTACACTTCCAACTCCGATCACTTGCCAATATAAGGAAACTTATTCAGTACAAATGTTGATATTTGTCTCACCCCGAAGTTGTGAAAATGGCTCTTCTGGTGAGAACAACCTAGTGTTATAGTTATTTTCAATAAATCACTCAAGAACATCGCATAGATTTATTTATTAGGTATGATATCGAAGTGATTATTTTAACTCAACATTTCATTCTTAGAATAGAAGTTGGAAAGCCTTTCTATCGATTTCCGTCTGAGCAAACAGCATATCACTTCATTTATAAATCAAATATAACAAAAAATCAGACAAGCAATGTTAGTAACAGATGAATATATGTTATCATAATGATCTTGCGGTAATTGGAAAAATGTGTGCAGCGGTAAAGCAACTGGAAATTTAGATATTAAAACTAGATCTGTCATACAATGAATTGAATCACTTTGATTAATTTACTCCAGATATTATGATTTAACATTAAAGAACAATCATAAACATGAATTGAATAGCTTATAACCAATACTTGTTTCTGAAAAGTTCTGTTACTGAGTTCAGTTGAGATATGGAATGAAACTATCTGCAAAATAATCAGTTACCTATAATTATCATAGAAAATCCAATCTAATCAGTAGAAAAAAGAAACTCACCTGATCATCAAAAGATTCATCCATGATGAGATGATTTTCTTGAAAATTGAATTAGTTCGTTGAATATTGAATAGTATAATGAATGTTTTACAATATATCGAATAAATAATAGTCCAGTTTATCAATATTTAAATGGTATTATATTCAGTATATGTATATACGTTTATGTTATAGACTGAGATATAATGCACAAAATGTGTATTTGTCTATTATACACTGTAATATCAATTGTAGAGAAACAAATGTCCGTTCCTGCCAAGAAATATACCACAACACTTAATAATTTTTAATACTTCTGTAGTATGAGTCGTTTTTAAGAATTTTCAAGATATTTCATACTCATAGATAAGTGCTCACAGAAGGTAAACATTTATATACGTACACATATATGCACAATTACAAATATACACACAAAAACTTGGAAACCAAGATAAATAGTGACACAACAAATAGAACTACATATTTTATAATAAAGTCAGATACACACACATTCAGCATTGTCAAGGTCGATGGTGTATCTGTTGCAAGCTCACTAACTGGCTATTTAAAAGACTGAGTTTTGTTTACTTGGTTTTTTCTATTGTGATAACGGCACGTGAGCACACATAAATATGTTTATAATTGTGTAGATATATAGTATTTTTAAATGAGACTTGTACTCAGACATGTTTACAATAGTGTTTCAAGAAAAATACTAACAATACACTTTGAGAGCACAGTAATGTTACCCTAAAGTGTTTGTGTGTGCATCTAGAATTTGTAAACTCACAATTGATTGATTAATTGATTAATTGACTGACTCTGTACTTATGATTGTGTGTATTTATATATAAATTTGAATAAATCTTTATACTGTATAGTCAACCTCCACACAATGACCCTGTCTATAAAATATCTGGTCTGAGCATCCCGTCATTCGACAATAGATGTGTTTATCTTACAATAGTTATGCGAAACAGCAAACAATCTTTAACAATATATGGAAGAAAATTAATACATATTACGGAATTTTTTCGCCACATAAAAATAACGTAGATTGTACATACTTAAGAAACTTTTATAAAATATTTTCCTTTGGTAACTAATACTAGCTGTTCAATTAAGTTAATCATTAATTTCAAAGAAAAAATACTTAATAAGCTGCAATTCCATTCTCATACACACCAAATAATAATGAATAAGAATATTTTGTTTCGCTTTTCTAAGTACGGGGTTGTGGAGATTATTAAGCCTTTTTTAGATCATGAACCGATTGATGTATGACCACCATAGAAAATCTGGAAGCACTGGATGGCCGTTTCGTCCTATTGTAGGACTCCTCTACAATGCGTACAGAGACTTAGATTTTCGCATCAATTTCATTTATTCATATCGGCTGAATAACAATTCAACATTATAGGTGATGTCAGTTTTTTATGTATACTATAACTACTAGTCCGAATTCTTAATGCTAATTTATAATCCGATTTTAACACCAGTAAGTAATTGAAATTTCTCGATACCATTTTAGTATAGCTCTAAGGTCATCCATAAATTATAGTCTCATCCAGTAAGATTCAAAGAATAAAATCACTTCATTCTATTTCAATCTTTATTATTATTCACAAATATACTAAAGTTATGAATAGTAACGTGATTTAAGAATGCCGTTTGCACAAAATTTAATGAATTTGAAATCGATGTACTAAACAGAATTTTATAAAAACAAAATTAAAAGAGCAGAAAAAAAGAAACAAAATCTTATGCATAGTACTCGAAATCAATAAGTAACAGTATACTGAAAATCAGATTGGCCATTTCTCTGTATGACTGTATATTACTTCTCTAGGTGTAAGTGACATCTGGTTAGTACAACTAGTGAGTTATATCGTCGTTTTGCAAATAATGTTGATGTACCTTTAAATAAACAAAATGGACTAACATTAATTATTCAATGGATATTTGAAAATTTTACCGATAGTCACTGAACTCTGATATAAACTACTAATTTACTTCTCAACGACAGTTCTATTTAAAGATTCTTATAACTGACTAATATCAGTAGAAGAGACAGTAAAAGCTAAGAAACGTTTCACATCCGATATGTTCTAATTTCAAATTTTCCAATAATACAAATTGACAGATTTGAAACTTATGTTGAATGTTATGAATTTAGTTTCCAACTAGGTTACTAATATTTACTACTAAAGTGTATCAAATTAGAAAATAATAGCTGTGTTACTTATTCGTATTTTGTAACGAAATTAATTCTTAAAACTTGTTCAATCAACTAAATAAAATTTCATTTGTTGATTGATTTCATTATAATTTTTTTTTATTTTATTCAACCAATAAAGTAAATAGTTCCAAGATTGTTTTATTACTTTTCACAAATCACTTTTATTGATTTTACATTTACCAAAAACTGATTTACTGTAACATAATTGTTTCGTTTAAACAACGGTACTACTAATTCAATTATAATGGAAATAAACATCATCCATATTTAAGGTTTGAAACGTTTCCATTATTTAATTATATTGTATTATTAAAATCATATTATATAGTACTAAGTAATCATAAACAAATGAATTAGTAAAGAAAATTCACTTGATGTTGTTTTACTTGTATCTTCCCATTGTTATTTAAGACTGCAATTGATCAGTCTCTTGTTAGCATATGTGCATCCTGTGCAGATCGCCTTAAGTCACAAGCTTTTTAAGCAAAGATGGATAGTAGTGGAGAAGATTTGTAGCTCAAGTGGAGCTGAGAGAACAAAAATCCACCAAAATGGATAGTGGCTAGCAATGGAATCCAGGATGCGCGTTTCGTCCTAGTTGGGATTCGTCAACTGGATGTACCTGCATCGCAAAGTTGATGTTTACCCCGTTGCACAAGCAGGTGGTTATCAGGACTCAGTATCTAAGTGGATAACGCGATGGCGTTTGAAGTGAACGGTACTGGTTTCAAATCTCGGAGTGAACATCAGCTCTGGGATGCTGGTAAATACAGCTGAGGAGTCTCAACTAGGTCGAAACGCGCATCCTGGATTCCACTGCTAGCCACGATCCATCTTTGCTTAAAATGAATTGGTATATGATGAGTAAACGAATATTATTCCAGTGTTTTTGTTTTCAATATATACATATATGACTTATTTCATTAATGAAAGAAAGTATTGCATAAAAAAATGACTGTGATTTTTCTTATTTTTGTACTTTGATATACTTTAATGATGAAATCAAATACCATTATGATCAGATATTTATGTTTAAAAGAAAGAGAAAATTCATCTTAACAATAAGTCATATGCTTAAACTATCTTCCTTATAAAACATATCATTTTCTGATTGATCAAGTGATTGATTTCAGTTGTAATATGTGTCAGATTGTCATTTTGTTTTATTCTATTCTTATCTATTTATTCAGGCAAATTCTTAAATATAACTGTTTAGTGTTGTGAATATATATTGTCAAGGTGTCTATGGATCTATATCCACCAAGTGAGGAAAAATTGGTCGTTATCCGATTCATTTCACATATAGTTAATGTTTTTACTTTTTTACTTATGTCCGTTACTCCCAAAAGAGTAAAGGCCGCCGACCAGTATTCTCCAACCCACTCTGTCTTAGGCCTTCTTTCCAAGTTCTAACCATTTTTTGTTCATTCTTCTCATATCTGTTTCCATTAATCGGAGTAGCGTGCCCTTTGGTTTTTCTCTTCTCCTTTAATCTTGAGAATGCCAACTGATGGCTTGAATTGTGACACAGTTGGATGTTTTTTTCAGTGTGTGTCCTATCCACTTCCAGCACTTCTTCTTGATTTATTCCTCCGCTGAAACCTGGTGTGTGCTCTCTCACTGTAGGTTGTTGCTCATAGTGTCTGGTCAACAGATCTGAAGTATTTCGCGCTTACTTACATTCGCCTGTTACTCCTCGTGAAGGAGCATAGGCCGCTCACCAGCATTCGCCATCCAACACTGTCCTGGGCAATCCTTTCCAGTTCCTTCCATTTCCTATTCATCCTTTTCATATCTGCTTCTATTATTCGACGTAATGTGTTCTTTGACCTTCCTCTTTCCCGCTTCCCTTCAGGATTCCAAGTTAGGGCCTGCCTCGTGATGCAGTCTGATGATTTGCTTAATGTATGTCCTATCCATTTCCATCGTCTTTTCCTAATTTCTTCTTCATCTGGAAGCTGGTTTGTTCTCTTCCACAGAAGGCTTCCGCTGACGGTATCCGGCCAATGGATGTTGAGTATCTTGCGAAGGCAGCTATTTATAAATACTTGTACCTTCTTGATGGTGGTTGTTGTAGTTCTCCAAGTTTCAGCTCCGTACAGCAGAACTGACTGCGTTCACTTTGGTATTGAAGATTGTGACTTTGATATTGGTTGAAAGTTATTTTGAGTTCCATATGTTCTTCAATTGTAGGAATGCGGTCCTTGCTTTGCCAACCCTCGCCTTTCCGTCTGCATCTGTATTTTGCACAGACAAATGTTACTAAACACTTGTATATTCTGGATGATTGCCTTCGTAATTCTTTAAGTTTCCGCCCCACACAGTAGAACTGTCTTGACATTTGTATTGAAAATTCTGATTTTGGCATTGATCTAGTTAATGTATAAAAAACTTATTTGTTCAGTCTGTTTTCTATCTTAAGATTCTCATTTTTAACTGGATCAAAATAATAAACATTCTCTCGTTTAATTACGTTACATAAGCTTAAACTGTTTTACTATAAGTTTGTCCATTATTTTTTATTCGTCTTATAATCAGTCCTTGGGATTGTGTTTAACGTGTTTTTTTTTCAGATTATACATGTTTGTATTTTAATAATTATTCATTTTTCTGTCTCTAAACTGCAAATCAATAGACAAAATTTTGCACGGCTATTATTATTAATATTAACGAGTATCATTACTTGTCTCATTTACATGTACTGTAGTTCTACCAGTAACAGAGGTTTAAACGTTTTGGAAAACTATTTTCCTATTAGATATACAAGGTCGCATGAAAAATCACTGTACATCCGTGTATTTGTTAGTTATATTCTTTTAATCAGAAAGGGGTTTTGTGGATATTATAGTAATTTAATAGTTGGATTCATGAGTCAGTTAAAGCTAGACCACCAGGTAAAACCTGCAAATACTGGACGTCCATTTCATTTTATTATGGGATGCGCACTGCTGAGAAGTCCCATATTAGGACAAAACGGCCATCCAGTGTTTACAGGTTTTCCATGGTGGTCTAGCTTCCATTGACTTAAATATTTTTCTAATTATTAGTAAATAGGAATAAATTAAATATGAATTAATTGGAAATCAAAACAATCCAAATGGTGAATTAATATACTTAACTCGAAATACATTAACTCAATGAACTATTTCTTTGCTTAAACTGCTGAACTACAATATTAGTTAACTTATATTTTGAACTAATATTTACAAATAGACTATTCGTTATTCAGTAGAAATAGACAATGATTTCATATATATATTGAAATGATTAGTCAATGTAAGTTTGTGATTTCGGAATATGGAATAGGGATTATTCCAAATTGACTGATCACTGTATCCTATGTATACTTTTTCTGATTTCTGTTTAACCTAGAACTAAAACTGAATATTTGAATCTTCGGGATAAAAAACCTAAGTAATATGTGATGTTTTTG